TTGTCTTATGTAACCAATCAAGGAAAGTCTACTGGAACCAGAGCCATTAAATTCCAGATTTGGGGGTAAGGGTGGCAGTGTCAGATCTGGATCTCCAGGGTCTCAGAAGCTTCTCTAACAATGTTAAAGCAATGGAAGCAATGGGCATGGTGACCACTGGGTCTACCACCAGCTTTCACAGTGAGACCAACTCTACCCTCTGATATGTGTCATGTGTGGTCTTGTGCCTTTGGTGGCCACACAAATGGAGCACTTCAGATATAACAAGTCTAAATAAGTACTTTGTCCTTGCTTAGGTTAGCGTGCAGGCCAGCCATCTGATGGAAAAGTGCACAGTGCAAACTATGACCAAACTCTTTCAATTCTTGCTAAGTAGCCCTTTCTTTCTTCTTAGCAAGAAGAATTAAACTTTCTTGCTAAGAGCTACTCTAGCCTTTTTTTTTTCTGGCTATGCATTCAAATATTCAGAAATTAAATTCAGAAATAACTTCCAGGGAAGCCCTTAGTTCAATCTGGATTCAGCTCAATCTTCTCATTTTCTGCATGATGATACAATAATAATTCAATTCTTAATGAAGACTGAATGATTCTGATCTTGAATCATCAATAATTATGTTCACTAAACATCTAGTATTTTATAAAGCAATAAAATAGACTAATGCACTTTAGGAAGAAGTTATAGAAGAGTTCAAACCAAAACAAGCTTCTGGCATAACCTAGGATGACCAGGGTATTAAATTAACCAAAACACCACTTCCCCCAACCCCCAAACTTCAGTGTTAATGGCTATCTTAGAAAATTCCAGGATAATTCAAGATCAGTTTGATTTGTTCCTCTACACAGATAATTTCATGGAAGACAACACTGTAATTCAAAACAATAAATGATTTGGTTTGGGTTATAAAGCTATAAACAGAGCCGTTGCAAAATATTGCTTACTGTTCTTTCTTGCTATAAAACATTTGATTTTTAGACATAGAACATATACCCAAATAATAACAACTGTTTGCCCTCTTTATTACTCAGTGTACGCTGTTATGCAAGGAATTAAGCTTTAGTCATCAAATTAATCGTAAAGATTAACAAAATACTTAGAGTTCCTAAGTCATCATCCATTTCTACATTCAGAGGTAACATTGACCCCAGACAATACATAGCCTTTCTTCTTGTTATAAAAGTAGTCTCAGAGTTACTTGTATTCTTGGCTACCAGTTCTGCTGTCAGAACTCCCTAATTCTTCCCATGAGTCCCCACCCATGTCAAGGCAAGCTATTTTCTCCACAATCAGGAATAAACACCAGAAGACCTCAGCCCAGAACACAGACGATAATTATGAGCCAGAAAGGTGAGCAAGGGTGGAAAGCATGTGAAACCAGTCAATTTATTCAGGCAGCAAAGACAAAGTTGCAGAAAATTCACATTTGATATTTTTCTAATTGAATTTAATTTCTGTATGCTGGCCTAATTGCACTGATCATAGAAACTTGACCTTGGTCAACTCAGGTTTTACCCCTGTCTTCTTATCTCCAGAACTGCCCTCAAGCTTCAAAAGATGAGCTTAGCATTAAGGAGAGGGATCAGGGCTCCTGGTGCTCATGTCTCATCCTCTCCCCATCCTAGACTCCTCTGTTGTGTGCATCTCCATGCCTAATGGCATGTCAGTTCATATAGATCCTGCCTGAACCCTGGATCTTCATTGTCCTGACCCCAAAACTTTCTAGGCCAGGCAGTTCTCACTGTCATGTTCTCACTAATCAGCCTCCCAAAGAATGTTCCACTGTTCCCTGCTCCATACAGATCACAGAAATGCAGAGTGGGGCTACCCAAAGCTCTTCTGCTAAGACATCTTGCAGAGCCACTTTGATTTGCAGCTTCATGTCCCTGTCCAAGGATAAGTACCAGACTTCTCTGAAGTTGGGCATTCCAACATCACCCCACTCCAAGAACACAGCTCAGAAGAAAGCACTGGCACTCAGAGACCCTCTGAGGACCCCACAATGGCTACTCATACTGAATGTTCTGTACAACTCACCCAAACCAGGGAATTTTAATCTCTATGGAGAAACAAATCGAGCCTAGCAATAGTCTTCAAAATCTACTGCTTAAGTTTCAACCTCAGCTTTGAAACCCAAAAGAAAAAGTTTCCTTTTTTTATTTTTTAAAATACTTTATGTTTATGCTATTACAGTTGTCCCACTTTTTCCCCCTTCATCTTGCCTCCACTCAGCCCACTCCCCACTTCCGTGATCAGTCCCCTCTCTGTTTTCCAAGTCCATGGGTCCTCCATATGTGTTCTTTGACTAATTCTTTCACCTTCTTTCAATCAGTCCCCACCTCTCCCCTTCCCACTTACAGCTGTCAGTCTATTCCATGATTATATGCCTCTGGTTCTAGTTTGCTCATTAGTTTATTTTGTTCATTAGATTCCTCTTATAAGTGAGATCATATGGTATTTTTCTTTCAACAACTGGTTTATTTCATTTAATATAATAGGCTCCAGTTCCATCCATGCTGTTACACAATGTAGAAATTCCTTCTTTCTTTCTGCTGTATAGTATTCCATTGTGTAGATTCACCACAGTTTTTTATCCACTTATCTACTGATGGGCACTTAAACTGTTTCCAAATCTTATCCCTGGCTGGTGTGGGTCAGCAGACTGAGCACCGGCCTGCAAACCAAATCTTGTCTACTGTAAATAGCACTGCTATGGATGTGGGGGTGCATAAATTCAAAAAAAAATAAAAGTATTAACTTGTGTTTCTGTCGATATTCCTACCTCACCAACTCTAACTAAGAATCCTCTTATCTCAAAAATTCAGTGAAGGTTACGGGTAACCAAACATGCTTAAGGAAGACGAATAAGTGACTATTTCAAAATATTATCCCTCAAAAGAACTGAGATTCAAATATCTCAAGAAAGTTGAAGGGAAAAAAAAACCAAATTTGAGAGGACCACAGAGACAGGGATTATACACCAGATAGAGAATTAAATTTCTAAAGGTGAATAAAAGTAGTTTGGGATCTAAATGCAGGAGGAGCAGAACTGCCGTCATGCCATGTCATAGGCAGTGGAGACAGAAAGATGTCCTCTCTAAAAGTCAGATATTGAGGGAAGACCTAGATTCTGGAATAAAGGATAAATACGTTCAAGACCCAAGATAGAATGGCTGAGCCAAATTTTGAATAAAATAATGTGGGAATGGGGAAATGAGGAACTATTTTCACTGGGTACAAAGTTTTTGTTACATAAATGAGTAAGTTCTAGCACTCTGCTATGCAACATGGTTAACAATAGAGTATTGTGCAGTTTAAAATTTGTGAAGAGGATAGATCTCATGTTAAATGTTCTTACCAAAACACACACACACACACACACACACACACACACACACACACACACACGAGCACAAGGTAATTTTTGGAGATAATGGAAATGGAAGTACCTTGGTTGTGGTGATGGTATCATGGGTGTATACATATGCCCAAACTCATGAAGATGTGCACATAAATGTATGGAATTTTTGGTATATCAAGTATACCAGAGTAAATCTAAAAAAATTAAGAATTAAAAAAGTCTGAACAAATCCCAAGTGACTTCTGCCCCAAGTACAACATTTAAATAAAGAAGTATTACAACTGTGATCATTACAACTCCTTGTCATCCAACAAATGGAAATACAAATTAATTAAATTGGTAAATTTATTATTAAAAACATTATGCCACTATTCCACTAGGTTTTCAAACTATAGTGAGGCACAAACTAAAGTGTTTTACCACATAAAGAGCAGAATTCCTGAAAATGTCTCCAGACTCATGGAATCGAGAAATGCCCAAGCTGGAATAGGCATTTAACCCAGTGCTTCCTAGCCCAGTGCATACTGTGGGCCAGGGAACTAACTGGGCTTTTTATTACAGATCACAAAACCAAAGGAGAGAAGAATGGGATAAGGAAAGAGGAGCTTCACAGAGCTCAGCAACCCAGGGCAAGCAGAGAAGCAGTGAGGAAGGAATGGATTGGTCACCAAATGTCAGTGGTTCATCTCCCACCATAGACCAAAATAAAAGGCCGGCCAACTAAAGCTCTAAATGAAAAAGATTATAACATAAAATCACTTAAAGAGAATTGAAGTAAAATAGTAATTGATTTATGTGGGGAAAGACTCACAGTGGGAAAAAATGAAGATGTTGGATTGCACAGAACTTGAACTTCTAACTGAATACTGTAGAGCTTAAAAGTATCCACAGTTTGCATTGCATATTTATTTGTTCAGTCTTGATTGATGTCTGCTCCCCACCTGGACAATAAGTTACCTGAGGGCAGAGATACCACCATATAATTCCCCTACTTGGAAAAGTCCCTGCATATATTAGACTTTTAATGACATGCCTTTGAAAAGTGTTTCTGCTGTAACCTTATAAGAGCTCAGGCAGTCCCTTTCAACAAAACAGTAAACTGAGTAAATAACTGAGTTTGATAATGCAGTCCCTATTAGGGGCTTAGGCAGGAGTTTAACACCTGTAAGTATAAAGAAGATAAGCCTTAAATCATTCTGAAGCAGGGAGCTGGAAATGAGCCTTCTTCATGAAGCAAGAAAATTCTAGAAGCCATCTCACCTGTGACATGAAAACTAGAACATTCTGGCCATCAGTTCAAAGAAGGTTTAACTTAAGCCCTGGATTCCAGGTGAATCTCATTTACCCACAAAGGTTAACAACTTAAAATAGAGACCCTCCTGGAGAGTGTAGTACTCAGATTTGCTTATTCTGAGAGCCTGAAATAGGATGGGATGAGGAAACCTCAAAAGGGGATAAAGTAGGGGAAAATGTCCAAGGGCACACTTCAGCTCTGTCACCATTTTGAAAGGGCTAGACCAGAACAGAACATTAACCCAGTACACCAGAAAGGGACTATTAACATGAAATAGTCATGTCTTGCAGAATTTTTTCTTGCCTGTGCCTCTGGCTTCATTCACCAATGAGACCCCTTGTGTTTTTCAGAATGCCGAAGCAAGTTATGACTTCAGTAGCAACGACCCCTATCCCTACCCTCGGTACACAGATGACTGGTTTAACAGGTAAACTGGGCCTAATGAGGTGTCTTTGACTTTAGGTTTGGAGTTTTACTTTGCTTTGTTTTGTTCTTAAGGCTTGAAAATCACAAGCAAAATAATCTCAATGCTTCACTAAATTGTACTGTGACTTCCTATTCATGGCTTCATTCTCTAAATTCTTGAACTTTTTAAAATATTTCAATGCTCCTCCAGAATTATCTGCTGACAATTTGTTCCATTGAATGAGGAACTATTTGCCACTGTATTAAAGGTAGAAGGAAATAGAAATAATAAGAAAGCCTTTATTATTTCTTCAACCACAATCAACCACAAAGTGATTTAAATCATGCTGATTTCACTTGATCTGTGGAAACGGTGTAGATAATTTTTTTGCCTCATGAATCTGTGTCTGTATGTTTTTGAAAAGTGTTTCTGCTATAACCTCATGAAGTTTAGGTAGTCTCTTTCAACAAAACGGTAAGTGAAACTGGCAGAGGTTTGAAGTTTTGCTCAGCATCCAACCATGGAGAACTATTCAACAGTCTATCCATTTTCTTCAGCCTGTTTGGCTATTAAACATGTAAAAGCAGTTTCTTTCTTTTTCTCAAGTAACATTCTTGCCTAAATGGTTGATTGCATGTAAGAAATGTCAAGAAATAAACATGTATAGCTTGCTGAACCAAAGAATACTATACTTTATAAACCTAGTGTTTCCCTATTATTGATGTTTTTGAATGAAATTTATGAAAACATGTGAACTTCTATTAATGGTATAAAAATACACTATGTGTACAGCACTTTATTCATTTCTTTTACTTCTTGTGACAGACTCATGGCACATAAAACAAATGTTGTCATTCTCATTTTAGTGATAAGGAAATAAGTTTAGAAAAGGTAAGTGACGTCTCTGGTCAAACAATTAGCGTATGTCAAAGCCAACATTTGAACCCAGGCTTCATATATGTCTCTAATTCCAATGTATATCATTCTTTTATAACCATCATTTTTCTTATAAAAGACAGGAAGCATGATGACCAGACAGTGGCCAGGTAGCTTAGACTCTGTCCCTACAATTAAGTTGACCTGAGAAGGTCTAAGATGCAGACAGGGCACACAGGTTGGAAGTCTTGACGATTACAGAAAACGCAGAAAAAAATTGAGAAAAAATACAATTCAAATTTGTAACATTTGAAAAAAATTATATTTGATATCCAATAGCACCATTCACTTTCTATCAACTTCACCTACAACTCTTAAATGATCATGCAGTGTTTGGATGTGTGCTTAGAAGGTAAGGATGTATAAATATGTCTAAGAACTTTTGACATGAAGTGCCTCTTGTCCTCATGACTTATAACCCTAAATCCTATAAGACATTGCTGAATAGATGTCACTCAGCCAAGAGTGAACCATAATTGGGAATGATGTCCTGGAACAGTGTGTTGAGTAGGACCATGAGGGAGTACCTGGCTTCACCATGGCTGGTTAGCAATTCTCCACTTGACCTCAGAAAGGGCAGTAGCAATATGTGTACTGGTTACTTGCCATCTCTCTGCAGCTGGTAGATGCTAAATCAACCTTTGACAGACATAGTCAGGCACAAGAATGTAACTGACAGAATGATTTTCTCCCTTACCCCATTTTCTAAACCCAGCACAACCTTCCCCAAAGCAACTCTTCCTGTGTGATATACCATAAGAATATTCCTTTTTAAAAAAATGACAACTTCTATATTAAATATTTTAGCTTGTAATGTATTCTTGAAAGTACAGTTTTAAACTAACTAAAATCTTCTAGCTACAACTAATTAGTGCTTAGTGTAATAAAATTTTTCATTGTCAGTGATAAAAATTCTCAAGTGTCCAATTGCCTGAAACACAGTCACAGTGAGTCAGAGGAATATGATCCTTGCTTCCTAGGGAGCCAATGACTCAAGACACAGTGTCTACTTTGACAATAAATGGAACTTTTCCCAATGATCAAGGCATTTTCAAAGACTCTCGTTCATCATGACTTGTTGTTACAAAGATTAGATCGTACCACAGTTTAAATCACGGCCTTGCAAAACATAAATTCTATTGTAAGTGATTATGGGAGGAGAGTAGGTCAAAGTTCAAACTCACAGCTCTGGGAGGATTCATGGTCCAAAAGATTGAATCTGTCCTGGAGATGATTTCTGGATGACAAAAAGAGAATAAGAAAAAAACAGCCTTCTCATGAGTGTAGAATACATTTGTTTAAAAACCCTGGGATAAAATATTTTGCCTGGTATTTTCTTCAGTATAAGTTAGGGTTTTAGAGCAGGAGACAGGATAAAATTAGCCATGAGTTCACTCTACTCTTGTATATCTTTGATATTTTCTATAATAAGAAGTAAATTGTAAAAGCATAGGACATAAAAAGAAGCAAAAAACAAAACTGGGGCTTTAGTTCAGTATTTATGAAACTGTTAGTTTTGTTGTTCAAGCTGCTGAGGAACTTGCAATCTCATATGAGGAGGTGACAGATGCCAAAAATCACTGCAGGGCTAAGTGTAGCCAGAGCAAAAAGAAGAAAAAAGAAAAAAGGAAGAAAAGCTAATGCCTGTTAAACAGTCACTAGTTATAAGGTACTCTTTGCATATATCAATTTAATTAATTCTCATCATAATTCTCTGAAATAGATATGTCATTATTATCCCCATTTTGGAAACTGAGGCACAAAAAGATTAAGTAAGTTGTGTGCATGGTTACATAGCTAATAAGTAGTGGAGACAGGATTTGATGCCAGTGAGGGAGCCACCACATGCACTGCCTTATAATAAATACGGTTGGAGAGCATAGAGAAATGTAAAATTATCTCCAACTGGGAAAGTTGGGACAGTTTTCCTTGAAAAGGTGGCATTTAGTCTAGGATTTTAATGAAGGTAATAGGTAGAGTTGGTGGGTAGAGGCTGTTCTGAAGTGAGGGTAAAATTTAGGTACAGAAAGTAAGGCAGGAAGTGTAGACATGTTCACAAAGTGGCAAAGTGGTCTGGGATTTAGAGAATGGGACAGCACTCTAAGGAGACTTCATGGAAGAGTGAGCATGAAAGATTTGGACAAGTTGCTAGGAGAAAGAAGGAGAGATTCTGTGGTTGGATAGCAAACTGGGCCAGAGGCATAGACAAGGACCACCCTCCCACTGCACTCAAAAAATGTTGCTCCCCAGAGGCTCTAGAAGCCCTTAGCCTAGCACTTGTCATTGTCAGGGTTCACTACCAATCCAGCATTAATGTCTGAGCAGCTATACAACTACAAAGACATGCCATGTTCTTTTCTGGGCCCCATCTCTGTTCAGCAGACTTGGAGTTCTTGAGAAAACTCATTTCAGCATGACTCTGATAAAGGACTGACTAATGCTGACCGGCAATGGGCTTGCTGCTATTGTTATTCCAGTCACAGTGCCTGCAATAAAGGCCAGTTAGGACTCAGAAGCAATTGCTGCACAGGAAAAGGCAGTAGCTCTCCATCACAGGGTTTTCATTGCTATGAATTGTACTACAAGGGGCTCTCTTCAGGCAAGCAAATATAATGTTCCCCTTGGTTGGGAAACCAAGTTCAAGAGCAGTGTGTCTCTCCTGAGATTTCCTAGCATCCTACACTATCATATCATCCCCTCTATACTTATTTGTAAACTTGTTTATTTAAGAACATTTTTAAAACTCCAAACCAAGGACTCTATGTGAAAGCAAACTTCATATATATGCAGAATTGCTTTTAGCAGATAAGTGTATTAGAATTTCTTGCCCAATACTTAATTTGCTTTATAGGATTATTCCTTTTAAGCAGAGTAAGTGTCTTTATTCTACTGTGAACCATTTAATAATTACATGCAGTATCTGAGCTCTGGGGATATATTTGAAAACAGTTGAGGAATTTGCAGCAGGAGTATAATATCCTCCTAGCTTACAATCAGAGAAATATAGATGGCCAAGCAACATAATAATAGTAATAATAACCCAAATTGCAAAAAGATAGAAAATAATACACATTTAATGAGCATCAACAATGTGCAAAACATATATAACTGATTTGCTGTGAGGTATCAGGAGCTAATACCACATTTCCTTGCTAGCACTCAACAAATATTGCTTGGCTGGTGGACAGATGGATGAGCATACCTTCTCAGCTTTGCTGAGATGTTGAGTGGCCTAGATATCTGTCCATATTAGAGCTGCCTGCTTCTCCCAAGGTTTGCAGCCCTTACTTTGTCAATAATCCTCCAGTGTTGCTGGGTCTTAGGTCAATGTTTGGTGATGCATTGCAGATCTGTATTCCATTACCATGCTGCTGTCCACAGAAGTTCCTCTTGCATAATGTTTTTTTGACAAGCATTCACCACTAAAATGTCATCCCTGCCCTCGACAATGTTGATGGAGCACCACAGGGTGCAGGACACTCTACCTATTAATCTCTAAAGAGTAAGAGATTCTGGATTAGATACAGTTCCTGGCTGCAAAAGTTTACTATAAATTCAGGAAGAGAGAAGACATTTATTACCCAGGCAACCTAAACGTGGGACAGGAGGAAGGAAAAATGGTTGATGAGGAACATTTATCTCTATGTAAGTTCATTTGATTGACAGAATTAGTTAAACCTTCAAATAACAAAGATTTTCAGTAATTAACTTTTTTCTTATTAAAAGTCATATTTCATTTTGAAGAACTCTATGTGACAAGCCAAAGAAAAACACGTGAGAAAAATGGCGGTCTCTGCTTGGCTATTTGCATACTGATGGAAACTGGTATTTTACCCTGGTGGCACTTAATGGTTTAGAAATAGACAAACATCTTTCCCTTCTGTCTGTATAAATAATTCTGAATTACCTCCTAGATAATAAAATTCAAACTGCTTTTGAAGACCCAATCTAACTTCTTTCATGTGAGCTTTAAGAATACAGTAATCCCCCTTATCCACTGGGGATACATTCCAAGACCTCCAATCCATGCTCAAAATCACAGGTAGTATTGCACCCTATGCATGTACTAGGTTTTATTCTACACC